TCCTGTAGAATTTCTGTTAAGAAAAGTAACAGTACATAAACTTGTTTTTTAGGCTGGGGTTAGGTTCTATTTATTGCTGTCCAGAATTCTTTTATTGTGCATTTATATTCTAATGGCTGTTTTAATTTGGTGAATACTGGCATAGGTCATCACATTAGAGGCTTATATGACTTAATTTGGAGCTGAAAGAGGTGGAAAACTTGATGGGGGTAGATTGATGTTAGTAAGATGGGATCAAATTAAATAGGGCTGATCTCTCATGCCTTTGAATTGCTGTATTCACATTTGAACAGGACTGTAGTTGCTGAGGCATGACATGAAGTTTGCTGAGTCTTTAACAAATATGAAAACTGTCTTCCTAGAACTGTAGTCATTATAGGCTTGCCTGGGACAGGAACTAGCTCTCTGGAGGCCTTTTCTAATCTTGTGATTATTATAGTAGTGTTTAGAACATGAAATTAAGTCACTTAGAGGTTCTTTATCACCCTAGAATTTTTAAAAAAGATAAGTTGTGTTACCTGGAAAAGCTAAAACCATTCAAAAGGTGTATGTTAAGATAAGCAAATTATGCTTCTGTCCTTTATCCCCTCCCTACCCTTCCTATGCCTCTAGGAAACCTCACCTCTTTTATCTTTGTAAACTTTTAGATAGTCCATGGTTATGAAAGTGCACAAATGCATCTCTAAACCTTACCTACCATGCATCTTTAATTTGGTTTGCTAAGTAGTGTCTTTCATCTATCTTTACCTATTTGTTTATTATATAGATCTATTTTGTCTTTATAATCTTTGCCTAATTCTCCATTTTAAGAATATACCCTGCAGCTGGACAGTGGAGGCACACGCCTTTTAACCCCAGCACTTGGGAGGCAGAGGCAGGTGGAGCTCTTGAGTTCAAGGCCAGCCTGGTCCATAGAGTGAGTTCCAGAGCAGCCAGGGCTACATGGAGAAACATTTTTTCTGAAAAACAAAAAAAACATACATACATTCACTCTGATTAAATAATGGGTACTGGGTTATTTCATACATGTTGGCTGTATATTTTCAGTTATATACAAGCAGTAGAATACTGACACCAGGATTTAAACTCTTGTTAGTTTTTGAGACAGGGTTTCCCCTGTAGCTTTGGAGCCTGTCCTGGAACTGACTCTGAAGACCATGCTGAGATCCAACTGCCTCTGCCTACCAAGTGCTGGGATTAAAGGCTAGCTAAACTCTGGTTTTATGCTCTCAGAGTGTTAAGTAGTCTCCATACTGTCTTAGCTAGTTAGGATTCTGCTTGCTTGCCTGTTCTTCCAAACCCCTACTTCCTTTCCTTCTACTCTATCCCTTCTTTCTAGCTTTTGGCTTAGATTACAGGGATTTCTGTTTCAAGACTATTCTTTTCAATTCTTCTGTGAAGATGTATTCTTTTGTTGAAATTAAAATACTACATTAAAAAATGGAATTGTGCCAAATACAACTTTTTTTTTACACTGTGTTTGTATGTCCATGGAGGTATATGCTGTTGGATATCAATTTTGTTGTGAGCTGCTTGACATTGGTGCTGGGAAGTGATGAATGCTGCTTTCTTCAACTGTTGAACGTTCTAGCTGCAGTAGACTGTGGTGGTGATTTTGATTTTGTTTGAAAACAGGTTTCCTTTGCATTGAGTGTCAACTGCAGTTAACATTAGTTCAACTGAAATGATGGGTGCAAAACTTGTACTATTGATGTGCAGTTGAACTCTCAGGAGAAGGGGTGGGACAGAAACTTGCTTTTATCATGTGTCTGTTAATTTTGATAGAACATACTGTTTCTTTTGGCAGAAATTCTGTTGCTGGAGTGCTTCAGTTTAAGAATTGAAAATCTAATAAAAAGTTATCATTATCCCTGGAAATGGTTCTTCCAAAATGAAGTGGGAGGAATGAGATGGGATAAAGCTTGTTTTGTTTGTTCAGCAGACAGATACTGGAGACTAGGAAGAAAATTTAATGCTAGGACTGTAAGCTTTTAAGTCTGGCTGCCACTACAATACAAGTCTTTTAATGCCTTTATTCAGCCGACACACATTAGCTGTGATAACATTGAACCAAAGGATTCAAATGCAGGTTAGAATTTCCTTGTGTTTTGCTGTGCACTGTATGCAAACCATTGTTTTTGAGTAGTTTCCTGTGTAATCTTTTCCTCATAGAAGTCAGTTGCAGATACTTGAAGAGATGTTAGCCTTGCATGCAGAGAATGGGACTTGAAGAATATGTGGGTGCATCCAAAATGGAAGGAAAAAATAACTTAAGGAGTCAGGAGAGCTAGGCTCTTGTCTTGATTGGTTCCTAATTAATAGTGTTGGTCTTAAAACGTTTAACCGATTTGAACAAGATCTTGAGTTTTTTAAAGGTCAGAGTAGTTTTTTTTTGGTTTTTCGAGACAAGGTTTCTCTGTATTGTTTTGGAGCCTGTCCTGGACCTAGCTCTTGTAGACCAGGATGGCCTCGAACTCACAGAGATCCCCCTGCCCCTGCCTCCCGAGTGCTGGGATTAAAGGCGTGCGCCACCAATGCCCGGCACTTGGTGATCCTTCTGCTTCTGCTTTCCAAGTACTGGAGTTTACATTATTATTATTAAATTTTTGCAGTACTGGGATATCAAACCTAGGGTTTTATGCTTGTCGGGCAGGCATGCTACCTCTGGGCTATATTTTCAGCCCTGAAACATCAAAAAGCATTTTATTATTGGTGACTTATAGAAAAGGCAAGAAAAAGCACTTCTTAGGCCATGTCCCTAAAGTAAAATTAAAGATTCTGCTGCTTTCTGACTTAACCTTGTGATGTAGTAATATTTGGAGAGAAGAATGCTCTGGGAACCATTGACCTTCAGATAGTTTATACTTTGTTTTTTTAAGTGTATGTGGGTGTTCTGCTTGCCAGAAGAGGGTGTTGGATCCTCTAGAACCACAGACAGTTTTGAGCTGCCACGTGGGTGCTGGAAACTAAACCCAGGTCCTCTGTAAAACCACAGATGATCTTAGCCACTAAGACATTTCTCTATCCTCAGAGTTCATCTGTCTTTTTCCCAAAATTATTTTTTTAAGGGCTGGAGACATGATGGCTCTGTGCTTGTTTAAGAACACCAACTGCTCAGATCCTGAGCACCCACTAGGTAGCTCACAGCTATCTATAACTCCAGTTCTAGGCCCTCTTCTGGTTTCCATAGGCATTACATGTATGTGGCATAAAAATATGCAAAACACCCAATACATATAAAAGCTAATAAAAATAATACTCTTAAATTTGTTTTCTAGACATGATTTCTCTGTAGAACGTTGGCTGTCCTGGAACTATCTTTGAAGACCAGGCTAGCCTTGAACCCACAGAGATCAAACTCTGCTTCTGCCTCCTGAATGTATGCACCACCACACTTGGCTACAAAATTATTTTTTGAAAGATTACTTTTGTTATTACTTTTAGCCCTATTTGTGTACATGTGTGCTGGCTATGCATACATGAATGCAGGTGCCCTTGGGGGCCAGAGGTTTTGGATCTCTCTGGAACTGGACTCACAGGGAGTTATAAGCATGGGTGTTGAAATTGGGTCTTTTTTTTTTTTTTTTTTTTGGAGACAGGGTTTCTCTGTATTGCTTTGGAGGCTGTCCTGGAACTTGCTCTTTAGATCAGGCTGGCCTCAAACTCACAGAGATCCGCCTGCCTCTGCCTCCCTAGTGCTGGGGTTTAAGGCGTGCGCCACCATTGCCCAGCCAAATTGGGTCCTTTTTTTAGAGCAGTATACTCTCTCAACCACTGAGCCATCTCTCCAGCCTTAAAATTATTGTTTATTTTTCTTAGATAGGGTCTTACTACATAGCACTGACTGGCCTGGAACTTACTTTGTAGACCAGGCTGGCCTCGAACATATAAATATCCACCGAACTCTGTTTCCAAAGTTTTGGGATTAAAGGCATATATTTCCTACATTGTTTTTGATACAGGATCTCACTATGTAGCTATGTAATCGAGGTTGGCCTAAAATTTGACATTTCCCTGTCTCAGCATCCTGAGAGCTGAGATTACAGGTACTGCACCATGCCTGGCTGATTTTGTAATCTTGAGGCAGTCATGAAAAATAGCAAAAAGGGTAAACTGAACTAGAAACAAGAGGATGGGCTTGTGCGTGAGTGGAATCAACAGACATTAATGATAAATTAAAACCCAGTAACCACATAGTCAATAGAAGACTTTAAATTGAGGTCCAATTAATTTATTATGTGACTTGACATAAATCCTTTTACTTTTTTTTTTTTTAACATAAATAACAGCTACTTGGAGAGGGAGGGAGACAGTCAGTGTGTGTGAGAGTCTTGAACTTGCTATGTAGTGGAGAATGACCTGGAATTTCTGATCTCCTGGCTTCTACCTTTCAGGTGCTAGGATTACTAGCCATATGCCACCACACCCAGTTATAAGGTGCTGATGATCAAACTAGGCTTCTGGATGCTAGGCAAGCACTCTACTAGCTGAGTCACAGATCCAACCCTAAAGTCAAAAAATTGACCATGTTTAATGGATTCGTGTCATAATTGGGGCAGGTGACACATAAAATATTAATAAAATCAAATCTTTGAAGTAGAATTTTGTTAAGTGCCCTCAGCCTATTTACAGATAGATATGTAAACAAATATCAAAAGCAGAAAAATAGTTTTTTTTAGCTGAACTGTTAAAAAAAAGTCCATGGAAAGTTTTCAAGTAATTTGTGATTTGAATGAATTTTTAAGACCTCTAGACATTGAAAAATGACTTCGAAATAATTTATTCCCACACAACGTGTATTGAACCAGTTGTGAAAAGACGTAAGACTGGTGTTTAAGACTCTTGTTATGTATACACACTTCTCCTAATCTTCATAGGTGGCCATCATTTAGCACTGATGACTTTGACCTATCTTGGGCTCTTAGAGAAAGTATTCTTAAGACTTCATGCTTACTTCGTTCTTAATCTCATTTCCTTTTATGTTTGCTTTTCTTCCCCAGGTTTTCCGTTGGAATATACGTTGCACATTTATGGCGATTCTGAGTGTGAGGGCAGACTTCTGCCAGGCTCAGCACAGCGTTTTCGCTGACAAGTGAGCTTGGGGGATATATGTGCCATAATTAACATTGCCTTGAAGACTCTGGACACCGAGACTGGCCTCAGAAGTAGTAGGCTTTTTTTTTTAATTGCAAGCATATTTCTTTTAATGACTCCAGTAAAATTAAGCATCAAGTAAACAAAAGTGGAAAAGAACCTACACTTTTAACTTGTCTCACTAGTGCCTAAATGTAGTTTAAAGGCTGCTTAAATTTTGTATGTAGTTGGATTTTTTGGAGGCTGAAGGTATCCATCTGCAGACATTGAGACCCAAGCTGAATTTGGATTCAAGTGGATTCTGAATACTTCTGCCTGTGTTGAAGAGAAGCTTGCTTCATAAGAAGTAAACAAGTTGGATAGAGAAAATAGTGATCAATAATAGGCATTTTAGTGGTCTTTTTAATGTTTTCTGCTGAGAAACATTTCAAGATTTATTGACCCTCCCCCATTTTCCCTCCACACACACGCACGCTCACACTTTTTATTTGCCATAATGAACCGTCCAGCCCCTGTGGAAATCTCTTATGAGAACATGCGTTTTCTGATAACTCACAACCCCACCAATGCTACTCTCAACAAGTTCACAGAGGTAAGATTGTAGTATATTCTGTCTATTTTGGGGAATGATTATAGCTGAAATCTTATTAAAATGAGCATAAAATTGTGTCATCTAACTATGAATGTTTATCTTTTCATAATTTATATTGGGTTGAATTGTTACTATAGAATTTTAGAATATTTATGAAATTTGGGGATATTATAGATTATCTAGTACATTTGTTGAGCACAGTATGTACTCAGCATTGCAGTAAGCACTGAGCACTCTTTGTTTTTAAGGTCAAGGTACAAAAATTCTATTTGATACAGGCATTCTTTGTTCCCTCCCTTTTACAGATAATACCACTCAGCCTCAAAACCATTTATTTAATTTGCCCAGTGACTCATTGTATTTGGTAGAACTGCCACATAAGCCTGTCATGCTTACACTCAGGTTAAGAGGTGGATGGGATGGGTAACAGAGCCAGCTGTCTGGTGTGACAGTCTGAGTTCAACCCTTGACTGTGGTAACTGATTCCCCCAGTTGTTCTCTGACCTCATGCATGCATGCTGTAACAGACATATTTGTCCCATGCACACTGAAAGTAATAATTTAAAAAAATCATGTTATTTCAAATCTCAGTGAAAAGATACCCCAAACTATTTAGTAACAGTAGTTATCCTAATACAGGAACCCAGAAACTTGGGGGAAGGAAGTGCTCATGGGTAGGACAGCAGTCTCATTTGTCCCCCCTTTTTGGTAATGAAGAAACTTTTTCTTTACTCTTTAGCAAATATTTGAATGTAAGGTTTTTAATCTTTTATAGATTGTGTTGTCAAATGAATTCTGTTGGGGTGTTATGGAGTAGAGCAGCTGGGACTCTTATTTTATGGGACAAAGCTGATGCCGATAGATTTTTTATTGTAAAAAAGTTGTAACAGCCGGGCGTTGGTGGCGCACACCTTTAATCCCAGCACTCGGGAGGCAGAGGCAGGCGGGTCTCTGTGAGTTCGAGACCAGCCTGGACTACCAAGCGAGTTCCAGGACAGCCTCCAAAGCCACAGAGAAACCCTGTCTCGAAAAAACCAAAAAAAAACAAAAAAAAAACCAAAAAAACCAAAAAAAAAAAAAAAAAAACCAAAAAAAAAAGTTGTAACAATTTCGGACCAGTGTTAGTCATGAAAGTCATTGTAACTTCCCCCCTCCCATTTTTTATGGTACTGTGCAGTCTTGCCATGGACTTTACCACTGACATACATATATCCCCAGCACATATATTTTGAGACCTTTCCCCCACCCAACTTAAGTGTTACTGAGAATGGAACCCAGAACTTCATGCATGCCTGCCAAGCAAGCACACCGACAATGAGCTATGTCCCCCATCCATTTTATTTTATTGTTTTGGTTTTTCGAGACAGAACTTCTCTGTGGCTTTGGAGACTGCCCTGGAACTAGCTCTTGTAGACCAGGCTGGTCTTGAACTTACAGAGATCCACCTGCCTCTACTTCCCCGGTACTGGGATTAAAGGCATGTGCCACCATTGCCCGGCTTTTTTTTTTATAATTTATTTTACATGAATTGGTGTTTTGCCTTCTGTGTGAGGGTGTTGGATCCCCTAGAACTAGAGTCACAGACAGTTGTGAGCTGCCATATGGGTGTTGGGAATTGAACCCGGGTTCTCTGGAAGAACAGTCTGTGCTCTTAACCTCTGAGCCATCTCTGTAGCCGTTATTTTATTTTTTTTAAACTATTTTTAGATTATTTACTTTATTGGTGCTTTGCTTGGGTGCATTTCGATGTGAGAGTGTTGAATCTCCTGGAACTAGAGTTACAGTTGTGAGCTGCCATGTGTGTGCTGGGAATTGAACCCAACTACTCTGGAAGAGCAACCAGTGCTCTTAACTGTTTATGAGGCACTTGCTAAATTTTGAAGCTTGACTTTAATTTAATCTCATAGCTCAGGTGAGTCTTGAACTTGTGATTCCTCTGTCTAGCCATCTAGGTAGCAAAGATTATAGGTCTGTGTCCCTAGGCCCCCCTGAAATTCATTCTTTAAATTCCTAGTTGGGAGCTGGTGAGATGGTTCAGTGGGTAAAGGCTCTTACCACCAAACCTAATGACCACCAAATTCATATGGTGGAAGCAGAGAACTGAAATTTGGAAATTGTCTTGGGACCTCCATGTGTGCGCTATGGTATGTTCACAAGCACAGACACAAAAATGAATAAATGTAAAAACATTTTAAAAGACAGGGTCTCACTATATGGTTCTGTCAAATCTTGAACTCTATAGAGATCTGCCTGCCTTTGCCTCTGGAGAGCCATTCCTGGCCTGTATTTTTCTGTTTAAAGGAGCAAGGCATTTGGGTGTAATTGTGTACTAGTTTAAAATCACCTTTTCTTCCTGATTTCAAAACTAAACTTTTGCTCTTTAGAAAAGCAATGAATGCTTATCACACAAACCCCAAAACATACAACACTTGGGAGGCAGAGGCAGGCAGATCTCTGAGTGCGAGGCCTGCCTGGTCTACAGAGCAAGTTCCAGGACAGCCAGGGCTATATAGAGAAATCCTGTCTCAAAAAAGAAAAACCAAACAAACCAACCCAAAACATGCAGAAAAGCAAAATAAAAGTCAGGCATGGTGTTGAATGCCCTTAATCCAGCACTCAGGAGGCGGAGGGGGCCGATCTCTGTGAGTTTGAAGCTACCCTGGTCTTCAATAAAGGCAGTTCCAGTACAGCTGGGCTGTTAAAACACAAAGAAATCCTGTCTTGGAAAACAACAAAATCCAAACAAACAAAAGCAAAATAGAGTGAATCAAAAACATTGAATTGGCTGGCATGGTAGCAATCCTTTAATCCCAGTATTTGGGAGGCAGAGGCAGGCAGATCTCTGAATTCGAGGCTAGCCTGGTCTACAGAGTGAGTTTCAGGACAGCCAGGGCTGTTACATAAAGAAACCCTGTCTGGAAAAATAAAAAACAAAACAACAAAAAACATTGAATTGTTAATTACCCGATTTTTCAGATTTCCCCCCCACATGTGTATATTTATAATACAAACATGTAAGATCATACTGCATAACTTCCCCCAATGTCTTTAGTGTTACTTTATAGCTGTCATATATGAGTGTACATCCTCCCTTAACCATTCCCTTTTTGGGGAACATTAATAAACATTTCTGTTTACTCTTCTGTTCTACCCATGATGAAGATGCTGTGTAAGCTGTTCTTACTACCTCCTTTCAGTGAAATCCCAAGAATAGAATTTCTAGGTCATTGTATGTATGAATGTTTAAAGTTTTTGTGCTTTGCTACTACATTGCCCTTTAGAAAGGTGACTCTTCCCACAAGGAATATGTGGGGTTTGTGTTTGGGTTTTTTTTTTCCTCCCCCTAAGACAGGGTTTCTCTGTAGCTTTTAGAGCCTATCCTGGAACTCATTCTGCAGACCAGAATTTACAGAGATCCTGCTTCTGCCTCCCGAGTACTTGGATTAAAGGCATCAACAACATCGCCTGGCTAGTATGCGTAGTGTCTTTTATGTATTGCTGCAGTGAGATCAGTTTTGAGCTTTGCCTAAGAATGATACCGCATGCCGGGCGTTGGTGGCGCACACCTTTAATCCCAGCACTCGGGAGGCAGAGGCAGGCGGATCTCTGTGAGTTTGAGGCCAGCCTGGTCTACAAAGTGAGTTCCAGGACAGTCTCCAAAGCTACAGAGAAACCCTGTCTTGAAAAACCAAAAAAAAAAAGATACCGCATAGTTTTAGTTTGTAATAGGTTTCAGATCCCCCAAACAAGTTCCCTGATGACTGTGTTTTTCTTTAAAGGAACTTAAGAAGTATGGAGTGACAACTTTGGTTCGAGTTTGTGATGCCACATATGATAAAGCTCCAGTTGAGAAAGAAGGAATCCACGTTCTAGTAAGTGTCCAGTGTCTTTGTTTGTTTCTACAAATAGACTGATTTTTTTCAAACACTGATACTTAAAGAAAGCTTGCTACTTTTGATAGTCTTCTAGAGTTTCTTTGGGTTAATACATGAGCAGCATTATTCATTGTGTTTTTGGAGTCTACAGATAAAATTGAGCACATACTTATTTCTAAAACATGGAAATTGGGGACTGGGTAATGTTTCAAGAGAGTAAAATGCTTCTGTCAAAGCATGAGAACCTGAGATTGGCCTTTGGAACCCAAGTAAGAAGACCATGTCTCAAAAAATTTTAGAAAAAAAAAAAGAGGATGGGTATGGCAGGACCTGCCTTTAATTCCAGCACTTAAGAGGCAGACGAAGTAGGAGGCTTTCTATGATTTCAGAGTCATCTTGTCTACATAGTGAGCTCTAGGCCAGCCAAGGCTACCACAATGAGACACTGTCTCAACACCTCCCCTATATACAATGAAGATTGTCGTTTTGTATTTTGGAGATTAGTGCAGTATTTAGCTTTTGTTTCTAGGCTTCTAATTTTAATACAATAAAATAATTTCCATCAGAAATACGTCATATGAAAGTATCCTCTCCCTTTGGTAAGTACTAGATTAGTGACATAATATTTTGTGGATAATTTGTAGAGGACAAACAGGCAGGAGAAAAAGCTAAAGACATCCTGGTATAGAGTAGCTTTTTGCTAGACTTCTTTAAGAGCTCTAGTAGGGTTAGAGCTAGTTCAGTTCAGTTTGAATACAAAGCAAGCATGTTAACTATGCTGTTTGCTTATAGAGAATGAGTCAGTTAGCTAAAAAACTACCATTTCTCTGAATAATTGCTCGTGTATCTTTGGAGGGAGATAAGAGAACTGGAGCTTTTATAAGTATCTGGGGAGGTAGATAGATAGCTAGCTCTGTGGTCTCAGGTACCAACCTGGTTAGTTGTTTGGAAGGCAATTGATTCAGGTAAATTTCCTTGCTGGTAAGGTAGTCAGACATTTTGTGTCTGTGGTCCATACTATTTTCATTTTTGCTGTAGTAAAAAACATTAGAACTACCACCAACAATTGTGTTTTTTAAAAAAATGTTTCACTGTTTGGCATTGAAACAATTGGCATGCTTTTCTATTCTAAAAGACTCTGTAGTTCATGGGCTGGAACTGTTGTCCATAAGAATACACGTGTAAAATATAGCCATAGCATTGGATTACAGGTGAGGCCAAATCTTGAACACACCCAAGCCTCTGCAACTCAGTGGTGACAGGGGGGGAAAGCTTTTGCTTTTTTTTTTTTTAAAGACTGTTGTTGTGTTTGCTATGCCTGTAATCCCAGCACTTGGGAAACTGAGGGAGAAGGAGGGGAAGCCAGTTTGCTTTACATTTAACAAACAAAAGAGCTGGGAATGGTGGTATACTTGGGAGGCAGAGGCAGGTGAATTTGTGAGATTGAAGCCAACCTGGTCTACATAAGGAGTTCCAGACCAGCCAGGGCTGTATACTGACAACCTGTCTAAAAAAGCAGAAAGAAACTGATTGTCAGTAAAGGCAGCATGTTCTGTGTATTGTTTCTTTTTGTTGTTGTTTGTGGTTTTTTTTGGGGGGGGGGCCTTCATCTATCTATCTTTTTTTGTTTGTTTGTTTTTTTTTTTGTTTTGTTTTGTTTTATGAGACGGGGTTTCTCTGTATTGTTTTGGAGGCTGTCAGTCCAGCCCGGCCTCGAACTCACAGAGATCCGCCTGCCTCTGCCTCCCGAGTGCTGGGATTAAAGGCATACGCCACCAATGCTGGGCTCTGTGTATTGTTTCTTATCTAGGTGCTCTTTAAGGAAGTGCTAGAGGAAGTAAGCTCTCCACTAGGGTGCTTGTTTACAGTTCAACTGTAGTGACAATTGTTAGTAACACTGGCAGTCCTTTAATTATGAGGCATAGTTGACAATTCAAACATTATTTGCTTTTGTGGCCAATGGACTACTTATAATGTTCCACTGTTGCCAGTAATGATTGCTAAATCAGTTTAGTACTTGTTGATTTTCCAGTGTTCTTAGTTATCCTCTACAATAGTTTCAAGCTCTAAAACAATTCCCTATTTCATTTTTTTTTCTTTAGGAAAAGGGGAAAGAGTGCATAAAATGTGATGACTCCTGCTCATTTGTGTAGGAGTTACTAGGAACTCTTGCCTAGGCATCAAGGAAGATTAGACAAGCAGTAATGTGCTGTTTGGTAAATGTAAGGAGGGCTGAAAGACAACTCAAATTGATGGCTAGACAGAAAGGGAGGCTGGATGTGCTTGTGGCGCACAACTGTAGTCCCAGCAGTGGGGGAGTGGAGGGATCTTTTGAGTTCAAGGCCTAGCAGGACTATACAGAGACCCTGTCACATCACCAAAAGGAAGAAGTGGGGAAGGATATTTGAGCACATGCTCATCATTCTAGAATGTGGGAGGTAGAGGCAGGAAGGATCAGAAATTCAAGTTCATCCTCAAGTTCAAGGCCAATTTAGACTACATGAGACCATAAAGAAAAGAAGATACTTAATAGCAGTGGTGGCGCGCCTTTAATCCTAGCACTCGGGAGGCATAGGCAGGCGAGTTCAAGGCCAGCTTGGTCTACAGATCAAGTTCCAGGATAGCCTCCAAACCTCCAAAGCTGCAGAGAAACCCTGTCTCAAAAAAGAAAGAAAGAAAGGTGTATAAAGCCCCACTATGGTGGCATGTGTCTTTAATCCCAGCACCTGGGAGGCAGAAGTAGGCGGATATCAGTGAGTTCAAGGCTAGCCTGGGCTACAGAGTTAGTTCCAGGACAGCTAAGGCTATACAGAGAAACCTTTTCAGAAAAAAACAGAAGAATAAGTTAAGTGATATAGTTAATTCAGTGAAGCCTGCCTGCCCTAGCTACTATTTTCAGTTCATTTGTGTTGGGATGTTAGTCCCTGAGAGCATACCAGTTTAATATAAGAAGTCATTTCTTTTCAGGATTGGCCATTTGATGATGGAGCTCCACCCCCTAATCAAATAGTAGATGATTGGCTAAACCTGTTAAAAACCAAATTTCGTGAAGAGCCAGGTTGCTGTGTTGCAGTGCATTGTGTGGCAGGATTGGGAAGGTAAAAACTCTTACTTTTTTGTTTGTTTGTTAATTCATTGTTGTAGCTAAGTAAGCCAACTGAAAATTTCATCTTGGTAGAATTTGCATTTAGTAAGTAAACGATACTAAATTACTGGAAAGGAAATGAGCAAATGTCAGTGTAATAAGCTCTCTTAAGAGCCAATTGTGTTGGGTCTGGATCTGATTCTGATGCTATACTGCATGTAATGAGGGTCCCTGCCCCATTTCAAGAAATAGAAATTTAGGTCATTAAGTGGGCAACAAAATTAAACTAGCTTTAGGGATTAAATTACCTGTATATGGTTGGGTCTAAATGAAAGGGGGTTACTTTACACTCTTGAACAGTGATGTATGGACAATGAGAATTGACTGATTTTATAATCTTTTTTTTTTTTCGAGTATTGCTTGAGATAGTGTTTTAACACTTTGATCAACAGAAGGTTAAATGCCAATTTATGATGTACACTGTGACTCAGAACATTACTGTGAGGTGCCTGCCATTTGCCTCAAGGTGGTGGTGACTTGGACCATTATCTCTGCTTAGCACTTTTAGTATGGCAAGGTTTCTTCATGAAGTTGGAAGTTTCATTCCTTCTCTTGAAGGCTAAAGGCAGTGTGAGGCTTTACTAGTTGGCTTTATTTCTACTGCTTGTCTCCAGTGGTCAGAGATGATGTCCTGTTAATGGGCTTTTCTAAGACATCTTTCTTATAGTTGGGGTGGGAGTGCAGGAGAGAATAGGGAAGCTGAGTCTGGGGTTGCTGGGAGGGAGAGGCAAGAAGGACTGTTGTTGAGTGTGAGTGAATGTGAGGCCAGCCTGGTCTACACAGTGAGACCTTGTCTCAAGAAAGGAAACTACCAAGTTGGAGGGGAAAAACTTGAGTTTTTTTTTTTCTTTATATTTTTTTCTCATTCCTTATTTTTAAATAGTTTTGGAGACAGGGTCTCCTTTCTTTATAGTTCTGGCTGCCCTAAAACTCACTGTGTTGACCAGGCTGTCCTTGAGCTCACAGAGATCTGCTTGTCTTCCAAATGCTAGGATTAAAAGCATGTGTTAGCATACCAACACAAAGATCAAATTTGTAATGTGTAAGCTTTCAGTTAAAAAAAAATCTCTTGTAGATCCTAAAGGCTTGTGGATACTTACAATGGCCTTCTCTCTACAGGGCTCCTGTGCTGGTTGCACTTGCATTGATTGAATGTGGAATGAAGTATGAAGATGCTGTTCAGTTTATAAGACAGTAAGTATGAAGTGGTATGTTCAGAAACCCCAATTGGGGCTAGGCATGAGGAAGAGGTTATATAAAAAGAGTTATTTGGAATGTGTAAGAACTGGCTGGTTTGGACTTAAAATACTGTTTGAAAATAGAGACAAAGGGGGCTGGAGAGATGGCTCAGAGGTTAAGAGCACTGGCTGCTCTTCCAGAGGTCCTGAGTTCAATTCCCAGCAACCACATGGTGGCTCACAACTATCTATAGCAGGTTTTCATCTGGGAAGAGCTAGCTAGAAGGCATTATGCCATAAATAAATAGTATATTTCAGTAAGGCCTGCAGCTCTTTGCTACATGATAATGTACCATTATTGTATTTTCAGAAAAAGAAGGGGAGCATTCAATTCCAAACAGCTGCTTTACTTGGAGAAATACCGACCTAAGATGCGATTACGCTTCAGAGATACCAATGGGCATTGCTGTGTTCAGTAGAAGTAGAGAAATGCTTACTGGATCGTGGCATTAGAGGGAACTCTTGGTACCTGGAAATGTGAATCTGGAATCTTACCTGTGTCATCAAAGTAGTGATGGATTCAGTACTCCTCAACTCCTAATGATTGAGAAGAAAGCAAAGGATAAAGAAATCCCTCTATAACACGAATAAAATGTTTAAGAAAAGAAAAAAGAAAGGAAAAGGGATTAATTTAGTGAAAGATGATTTTGCTCCTAGTTTCGGAGTTTTGATTTTTGCCAGGATTGAATTATTTCAAAATATCCTGTGTTTTTAAAACTTTTCAAAATAGATGTCTGAGGAAAACCAGCAGAACATTAACCAGTGTGGAGCCAGTTGTTGGGGAGCACATACTTCCATTATGCTTGGCACATAGGTCTCCTTGTGGTGGGATTTGGGTGGGGAAGGTAGATTTTTCCCCATCTCCTCTTTCTTCCTGCGTCCCCCCCCATACATGTAGATGGAATAGAAAGAAGCCCTTGTTGCAGTAGATGTGCGTGTGTCTGGCAGCCTTAAGCCCACCTGGGCACTCTTAGGAAAACAATAACAACAACAAAAAACACCAAAAAAAAAAAAAAACAGGAAGCAAAGAAAAAACAGTACACATATGTTATATGACCGAGGTGGTTTTCAGTCTATTGATGGTGGGTGTTCACCTTAGTTTTCTTTTCCTCACAGCCCTGACCTGATATTAGGTGTGAAAGGTAGCCAGGAGCCTTTTGTTTTGGTAAATAGAGAGGAAATGGCATCTTAAAGAGGGTCTGTCCCCTGGAACTTAGCTGAGAGTAGAATTCCTTTTCCCAACGGTGGAACAAGTGGGCATCCCAGAAACTATTGAAGAGACGATTACAGACCATCAATAGTGTGTCCAGGAGAGCTAGCATGTTTCTACAACTGTAGAATTGTGGGCTGTGGGTTTGCAATATAACAATGTCATGGAAAGGCAATATCTTAAAATTTTAGGACTGATTTCAGAAATAGAAGAGCAACAGAACATTCACAGTATTTTGGTCTTGAGAAATGTCTGTGGTGGTGGTTTTCCAAATTACTCTCTGTATGTACAGTTAGTGTAACCACCTTTACCATGTTATTCTGAGATTAAAAAGGAAAAAAAAATCATTGTCAAAACCAGCAATGTATAGTGAGTATGTATCCACAGGCTGTAACAGGCAATGGCAAGCAATAAAGTGATTAGCAAAGGGGACTGAGCTCATGGCATCATGTGGTAGCATTTTTTGGGTTCTCTGTTAAATGTGCTGATGTAGAAAAGCTGTTTTTCCTTATTTGCAGAAGACAATTGACCAGGCTGCAATGACAAAGCAAGTGGAAAGGATCTCCAAGGACTCGGGCACCCTCTTCACCTAAATGTTCCATACTTGACAGTGCCCTGCTACCCAAGCCCTGACTGTAGGCCTAGAAGTATCTTGTCCCAGTGGAAATTTATTATGCAGAGCCATAAGCTTCCCATTTTGTTAGTATCAGCTAGACCAATAGGGATGGATGACATCTCATTGATGATACCTCAGATGCTGGCAGTTTTGTGAGCTGCCTCTTTGCTGTTGCTTGAATCGCTCTGCTTTTAACTACATTCGAATCTGTGGAGTCCTTCCTGCCTTATCCCACAAAATGAAAAATAATGCTTTTTTGACATTGTTTCTAGAATTTTAAAGTAAAAAATGATGATGCAATCCAAAGTTCTCTTATTTCAGAACATGACAATAGGTTGCTTTAACAATAGATTCAAGATCAGAATATCCTACCCTCTAAATTTAGATTAAGTGTTGACTCCAGGGGTTTGGTCAATACTAGCAAAACCTTTTTTCACTTGACACACTCAGAATTGTTGTGTGTGCATTGTGCACGTGTGCTATGAGGGTATGTACATGGAGGTGTCCATCAGTATCAGTTCCTGCCTGGGCAGAGCTACACTCTTGGTTCTGTGAGGATAAGGGAGCGTGGATAGAGCAACAGAAAACAGCCCTCATTTTGTTTTAAATAAGACTAATGTTGTTGTTCTCAGAACTGGACTTTTTTTTTTTCCCCTCAAAATTAAAACTTTTCTTTTGAATTTAATGAAGTATTGCTAGCGGAAGCCAGTTTGGCATGGTGAGAGATGTCAGACTTTTGAAAGGTGTGCAGCCTGATTTAAAACCAAACCCTGAAACCTTTTAAAGAACAATAAAACATATTTTACATGCTCTTTGTGCATTTTTTCCCCATCTCCAAATTGAGTTTATGTTTGCTCTCCTTTCTCTAGTATTCTCAAGGCCTGATTTGTATCCTGATAATGTACTTCCAGGAGGTGAAGTAAGAAGCTCATTTAAGATATACCTGACCTTACAGCTAATACATTTTCTGGTTCAAGTCTTGGGCACAATTCATTTGTTTATACATCATAGGTTTGGGTAAAGCAAGTACAGTTTTTAAACTTTTTTAAAAAAGATTTATTATGTATACAGTGTTCTGCCTACATGTATACTTGCTGATCAGAAGAGGGCACCAGGGCTCATTATAAATGGTTGTGAGCCACCATGTGGTTGCTGGGAATTGAACTTAGTACCTTTGGGAGAGCAGTCAGTGCTCTTAACTTGACCCATCTCTCCAGCCCATCTTTAAACTCTTAAAGTGGAGAATTAGCTGCTTTGTGTATCATAGAATTTCTCTTTAATCATTGGTAAGCTAGATAAAATGCCAAGGCACAAAGAATTGAAAAAGGAAACCTACTTTAGAGGTCTTCAGTCTTGGGGAAACAAAGTTATAGTGGGGTGGGAACTGGTTGTGCTAAGTGTCTGTAACCTAAGCACTCTGGCTAGAGGGATGGAGGACCAGGGCAATCAAAGCTACCTACCCTGGGCTACATGGCAAGACCCTGTCTTGGTAAAAGGTTACAATGGATGGCTTTGTGCTATGGTATCTGTAAGTTCTTGGTCCCACAGCTTAGCCTTAACCTTGTCTGGCTGACCTCAAACTCTCAGAGATCTGCTTGCCTCTGAGTATTGGGATTAATGGCAAGTGCCACCACTGCCTGGTGGGATTCCCCTATAAAAGATTTCTAGAAGCTCTGATACACTTGTTGGTCCAAGCCTTGGACATGTCTAAATGATGGAGTAGATGACTTTGCGGTCCCTCAAAGTTGTACACATTGTAAGTCCCTGGGCCCTGTGAAAGTAAACCTGACAGTGAGGTGACTTGGTGTATGTGATAAAGGGTGTTTAAAGAGACATTTCCAAGGTGACTTGGTAAGTTAGGACAATTTAATGTTGCTAGCATGCTTCGAAGATGAATGAAGGGACCACAAGCTAGCATTGCTGGTAGTACCTGGTACCTAAAGAAAACAAGGGAAGATTCCACACCTCCAAGAAAAAAAAGATACAGCACCTGGAACTGGGCATTATTTCCACATGGATCTACAGAACTATAGCATGAGAACTTCCACTCTTGTAAAAACTTTTTTTTTTTGGTTTTCCGAGACAGGGTTTCTCTGTATTGTTTTGGAGGCTCTCCTGGAACTCACTCTGGAGAGCAGGCTGGCCTCGAACTCACAGAGATCCGCCTGCCTCTGCCTCCCCAGTGCTGGGATTAAAGGTGTGCACCACCAACATCAGGCCTGGGTTGTCTGACTTGATACCAAGCACCACTTTACCTGCCAGCTCTTATTCATTCATTCATTCATTCATTTTTTTACAGTTATGTAACACAGGTTTGCTTGGAACTCCCAATGGCACTGCCTCCTGCCTCCACACCCAACTGGAATTTCTAAATAACCAAGAGGCTCATCATGGTGGCACAAATCTGTAATTTCAGCATTTGAAAGACTGAGGCCTTGAGCTTGGGCTAATCTGGGCTACACAGTCCCTTTTTGAAACAAAACCCCAGACTCGTGATTCGAGATTAAACACAGTTTATTGAGTGTTGTGAGTGAATACCCTGTGAGGGGAAAATGTTTATCCAGTGTTCTAGGCACTGAGAATACAGAGGCGAACAAGACAAACTGGTAAATTCTGGAGAAGATGGAGTTTTCAGTGCTGTGAAAAAAGGAAGAAAATCTGTAGTAATTAATGACTACAAATGAAGTTGGGTGGGGTGGCCAGGAGACTGCAGAAGGTATATGAAGATGGTACAAGCACTTTTTCAAGCAGTTTGAAAAATTGAAACCCTGCTTAGTGTGTGGGCACAGCAGTACAAGATCCTATGAGTATACTGACTAGAGACACTGGGAAAGTAGTTTCAGATGTGATTTATGCATTGCGGTTTTTTTTTGTTTTTTTGTTTTTTTTGCTTTTTAGACAGGCTGGCCTTGCGCTGGCTATGAATAGTGGATGGTGACTTTGAATTCCTGATTTTACTGCCTCCACCTCCTGAGTGCTGGCATGACAAGTTTGTACCCCTGGTTTTGTTTTTGAGACACGGTTATTCCTAGTTGGGCCTGGGATCATATCTGGGACACACAAGTCACCTGGAGAGGAGCCTCTCCTGTGGATGGCTGCTATTGCGGAGCAGAGCCACTGAGGGTCAGACCTTTGTGCAGAAGGTTACGTAAGAGTCGCCTTGAGTAAGAGACTATATTTGTAAGGTGTGACTGATTTGTACTGTGCATGTGGTGTGTCAGCCAAGTGAATGAGAATGAACTGGAGAGGGAAGAAGAAGCTGAGGAATTCTAATGGCTAATGGCTGCCATGGTCCAGGACAAGTTTCAGGCTTTAACTAAGGGAGCAAGGGTAGTTAACTAAGAGGCCTAGGGTAGAATTCCCTTCCCACCATTGTGCAGATCTGTGTGAAAGGTGAGCGGTATATTCTCAGTCCAAAGAGTTAGCTGGTGTCTATGGGAAGGGTTGGTAAACCTCTCCCATGAGTACCTGTCTCTCCTCTCCGCAGATCACAGACAGGAAGCAATTAGAATATTTCAGTCTTGCAGCTCTCCATCTGCCCTGCAATTCACCACTGGCAAGTGTAGCACACTATGGCACTGATGCCACTTGTTTTAAAGGTAGGGAGTCAGAAAGATGGAAAAACAAGGAGCCAATACTACCAGTATAGTTCTACTGTTCTCCGCCTTTTACATGCTTGGTGGGATTCAATTGTCAGAGGCCTTACCGCCAGTCCCATTTATCAGTGAGAGACTACAGAGTAAAGATAATGAGCAGACCCTGACAGGGAGTGTGCTACCCTGGGACTGACTCTAAAGCTGGCCCTGTACTGCCCAGCTCAACTGCTTAGTGGACTGGCATAGGACATTGCAAAGGAGCCCTTGTTAATTGAGCTGCATCTTTATATTAATTTTGAGGGCAGAAGAGGGTTGGCGGGCTTCTGTGTATGCATGTGTATAGCAATTCTGACTTGTCAGTGACTTCAACGTGTGCAAACTGTGTGTAATGGGCCTTGCCAGTAACAAACCAGGACATTTGAGCCGAGTGGTTTATAGTTTATAATTGCCTTCTTATTACTGTTGGCTGCCTTTCCTGTACATAGAGTATTACTCCAGGATTGGTATTTGATTTAAGAAATTTTCAAATTGATTTTTATTTTCAGTGCATTAATGCGTGGCCTCAATTCCTGCAGAGGCATCAGATAAAACCAGCCTGGATGTGTTTTAGGAATCATAACTGGATCTGAGCTGCCAGTGGCCCAGCTTTCAGTCAGCACAGATAAATCATTTTTCTGAAAAAAAAAATTTCTACCTTAAGTCCATCGATTTATTTCTTAGGACATCTTGAGTTTAGGGTCCCATGCAATTGCAAAATATTTTCTAGATAATGCTAAAACACATAAGTGGGAATTTGTTAACATGAGTTGATCTAATCACTCCCTTCTGGAACTCAACACATAAATATTCAAGGAATAACGTGGAAATCAGCCTAGTTTTCAAGGGTGCCCAATTGTGATGCCTTTCAAAATCAGGAAATGTGGAACATGACCCCAGTAATGAAAACGCTATAATGCATTTGAGTGCATGGAAAACTGGAGGGTGTTCTTTCTGCAATTTCATGAGGATTAGCATAGGTAAATGTTTTTAGTTTTTTTTTTTTCATCTCTAGAAGTGCAGAATAGATTGCCACTGTGTGGAAATACCTATTAATCATCTTCTAATGCTTTTATGTAAATGCTTACATTTGACTTTCATTTAGAGTTGCTATTAACACCTGGAGCTCTAAGATTGATAACAGGTAAAAATTTAATGAATACATAAATTAAATATTTGAGTCATGTTTAGGTTAATTTATAGCCTCTTTGTTCCTTACTCCATGTTCCCCTAACATCTAAAACACACTGGTTAAAGACAGGAAATAGGCTGGGCGGTGGTGGCACACACCTTTAATTCCAGCACTCGGGAGGCAGAGGCAGGCAGATCTCTGTGAGTTCGAGACCAGCCTGGTCTACAAGAACTAGTTCCAGGACAACCTCCAAAGCCACAGAGAAACCCTGTGACCCCCCCCCCCCCAAAAGGACAGGAAATAGGCAAGAAGAGAGCACTTTGCGCTTGGCATATCTTTTTGTTGTTAAGATTTATTTATTTTTGTGTGTGTGCATGTTTTGCCTGTGGTATGTCTGTGTACCACGTGCATTCCTACTGCCTGAGAAGTCAGAAGAGGATAAGGGATCCACCAGCATGGGAGTTACAGATGACTGTGAGCTGCCATGTGGGTGCCAGGAACCAAGCCCTAGTGCTCTACAGGAGAGCAGGTGCTCTTGGCCCCTAAGCCTTTCCTTTGTTCCCTCACCACCCCCTTTTTTGGAGAGACAGGATTTCACTGCTTGCCCTGAGTGGCCTAGAATTTATATGTAGATTAGGGTAGACTCGCCTATTACAGAAATCTACCTGCCTCTGCCTCTATTCTTTGCAAATAATCTGGCTATGTCAAATTATGTGTAACAAGAAGACTTTTTGATTGTTTTGTGTTCCTTTTTTGTTTTGTTTTCAAGACAGGATTTCTCTGTGGCTTTGGAGGCTGTCCTGGAACTAGCTGTTGTAGACCAGGCTGGTCTCGAACTCAGAGATCCACCTGCCTCTGCATCCCAATTGCTGGGATTAAAGGCATGCACCACCACCGCCCGGCTTGTTTTGTGTTCTAAGAATATAGATCCTGGTGTGTTGGAGGCCAGCCTGATCTCCAGAGCGAATTCCAGGACAGGCTCCAAAGACACAGAGAAGCCCTATCTCAAAAAACAAAACAAACAACATAGCTGAACTTTATGACTG